AAGATCATTCTAAAGCTATTCTGGAACATTTTTAGTATCGATACCTGCTCAAACGAGTACCTAGTTTCGATACTAGTTTTAATATTCTAGGTCACACTGCAAATTTCTCTGATTTGGCCAAGATTTTAAAACTTATATCAGGTTATTCATCTTGTTTTCAGATTTGTTATCTACTTATTAGTTCTGAGACTCCTTAATTCTAGTCTAGAGGTTGTTTATTTTAAGATAACTTGCTGCATGGACAGATAATTTCACAACTTTTAAGACATTTTCTGATAGATTTATGATTGATAATATAAACTCAAACTCAAATTCGATAGTAAAGAAGAGACACGAGACTTAAAACCAATTCCGATACCACAATAATAACAAATAACACTCACTTTTTAGATTAGATTTAGGTGATTTTCTACATAAAATGAGTGCCTAATTTTTTTAATATTCGAGGTTGCACTGCAAATTTCTCTGATTTGGCCAAGATTTTAAAACTTATATCAGGTTATTCATCTTGTTTTCAGATTTATTATCTACTTAGTAGTTCTGAGACTCCTTAATTCTAGTCTAGAGGTTGTTTATTTTAAGATAACTTGTCAAGTAAAATGATTTTGCTGCATGGACAGATAATTTTACAACTTTTGAGTCATTTTCAGATTGAGTATATATGATCAAACATAAATCTAACTACTATACTGATTCCGATCCTCTTCATTTAGACAATAGAATGTGATTTTCAACATTAAATCGTAGAACTTTCTTTTCTCTTTCTCTTTTTTGTCATATAGATTGTTAGTTGATTTAAAAAAAAAAAAAAAAAAAAGCCCGGTAAAAATGTGTAATATTTTATGTTTTGTTTTTTGTTTTTTTTACACAAAATGAGGTGGAAACATGTTATTAACATTAACACCGTCCATAATCACGTACAGAACATAAATCATATTATACAACAGATGTGCCCAGGACTGAACCAGGACTGAACCAGGACTGAACCAGGACTGAACCAGGACTAAAACTGCACTGAACCGGGACTGAACCGGGACTGACCCGGGACTGACCCGGGACTGACCCGGGACTGACCCGGGACTAAAACAGGACTAAAACAGGACTAAAACAGCACTGAACCAGGACTGACCCGGGACTGACCCTCGACTGAACCGGGACTGAACCAGGACTGAACCAGGACTGAACCAGGACTAAACTGCACTGAACCGGGACTGAACCGGACTGAACCGGGACTGAAACCGGGACTGACCCGGGACTGAACCGGGACTGAACCGGGACTGAACCGGGACTGAAAAGACTGAAACGGGACTGAAACGGGACTGAAACGGGACTAAAACAGGACTAAACAGGACTAAAACAGCACTGAACCGGGACTGACCCGGGACTGACCCGGGACTGACCCGGGACTGAACCGGGACTGACCCGGGACTGAACCGGGACTGAACCGGGACTGAACCGGGACTGAACCGGGACTGAACCAGGACGAAAACAAGACCAAAACAAGACTAAAACAGAACTGAACCAGGACTAAACCAGGAGTAAAACAGGACTTAACCAGGACTAAACCAGGACTAAACCAGAACTGCCTTATTTGACACCGGCCTCTTGCTATTTTTGCTACTAGGAATGGGGCAAGATCTCATACCGCAAGATCTCGCAAGACAAACTTGCCACAAGATCGTGCACAGATAAGACAAATTATTTCATGAGATTTTTTCCCCCTGAGTTTACCTTCAGCTTGGACAAAAAAATAGTTAAGAACTGATGAGTTTATACAATTTGAGAAGCTGTAGTTCCAAAAAGCAGTACTGCAATGACCTCTAAAGTAAAATAAATAAAAAACTGTGAAGCCAAAATGATGAAATGGATTGCAGTACTTATTTATTACAAATTATAAACAAATCTTGTCTTGTCTCGTTCTCATGGACCCAATCTCGCTGTGTGTCTCGTCTCATGAAAATTGTGTCTAAATCTGTTATTATTATTTATATTTTTACTCTTTGTTATTCTATTATATTGTGATGTGTGAGCTACAGTGTCCAAGTAATTTCCTTTGTGGATCAATAAAGTTCGTTTAAGTCTGTCCAGAAAGAAAAATTTATTATTTCCAAAAAGCAGCGTTATTTTCTATCCTAATCTTCATCATAAAGACAGTGGAATGTTTCACAGTGTGGCATTAAACCTTTCTATCTTCATGGAGACTAAACCAGACCAAGTTACAGGTCAGATCTGTGGAGAGGCGACTCCGCTCACAGTCAAAATGTTGTTTTTCTAGATATTTTTGAGCAATAAAAACACCTCCAATTGTCCAAAAAGAAAAATTTTATTATTTCCAAAAATATGGAGGATTATTTTGTGGTAATTTTCAGAATCAAAGGCAAAGAGACAAATACAGAGAGCATGTTTCTCATTATGTTTTGAGTGACACAGTCTGGGCTCTGCGGGGGGCTCGGTCCGGACCTACAATAACAGACTGACCCTGTGGAACCACTGCGGCGTCTGGCTGTTTATAATGAGAAATGCCTTTAACCAGGAGCCATCCCAGAGCTCAAAACAGGACAGCAGCTGCTAAAAAGTACAATTATCTGCGTGACTTTTATAAGAAAGTCCTAATATTACTTTACAAACTTGACTCTTGAGAGCTTTAAGTCGTGTTATAATGTTGTTACCTCCTCAAAAACAGACCTGGAGTTTGTGTTTTGTGTCATTAATGTTTGAGTAGCTCTTTATTATTAGTCTGTCTAGATCTCTAAAGCTCTGAATGCTCTTTTCCACTTTGTGATGTCATGTTGTGGTAGTTTTAAAGGGTACGTCCACACACGACAACACTCCTGGATTCGTCTATAGGGCGCGCAGTCCTTTTTTGATGGGGTTAGAGGCTTAAAGGTTGTATGGAGGATTTTTTTTTTTTTTTTTTCATTTCAAATTGTCAATGAAAGTTTAAAATACCGTTTCAAAGACATTGCAGCCTTGTAATTATGATGGCCAAAAAAAAAAAAAAAGAATGAAAATCTATCAACTGTGGAATTAGCAAGGCCTGATAAACATCAGCCAATAGATAACGAGGCTCCCTCATTTTCTATTGGCTGTTAGGTTGTCAATTAAACTCTCTATGTTTCTAGTGTAACTGACTCGCTGGCGCGCAGGGATTACATGGTTTATGCAGCGGTTCTTAGAGGCTTTTTTAAACTGTCGCTTCCTCGCAGTTCGCACAAAGTTTGTTGCGATGGCCGACGAGAATCCACGACCAGTTAATCACAAAAAAAAGTCAGTTTTTGAGGTCACTGAAAGAAGAAGAGAAGGGGAAAAGGAGCAAAGCCAAACTGAGGTGATTCTTGGAGATTCCTTCCAGCGATGGCACGAATGAAGCAGACGAAGTGTCTAAAAACTGACGCGTCGCTCGCTAAATTACTTCTAGACAGGTCACTTCAACAGTAATTCTTAACAGTCACCGGCTGTAAACAAACGTGATTTCTAGAGTAAGGAGGCGGGAGGAGGTGTTTCTAGGTGTTTCTAAAGGACTGTCGGTGTATTTCTTTTCCCTTAAAAATCCTCTATACAACCTTTAAAGAGCGCCGGAAAATACGGTAATTGCAAAAATCGAAACTATCTTTGGTAGTCTGGTTTAAAGCCTTGAAATGACTTGAAGCTCAAAGCAAACGACTTGGACTTGGACTTATGGACCAGTGACTCGAGACTCGACTTGGGACTTGACTCGGACTTGAGCTCAAAGTCCGGAGACTCGCAAAACAACGACCTCTGATAAAACGCGCACCAAATGACAATGAATGAAATAAGATACTCTGATAAACCTAACACACTTTCCGAGTTTAACCTGAAGGCAACACTCTGACAATATTAGATCACTTCATCTACGGTATTAGTGTACAGTAAATCTGATAATATCTTGTGGTCTGAGATGATTAAAGCGCCTATATTTACACAAAATTGACTCTTGTGAACTTTGAGCCGTGTTTGAATGTCGTTACCTCGTCAAAAAACAGACCTGGAGTTGTGTTTTGTTTCATTCCAAAGCTCAAAACGCTGTCTCAAAATGCTTTTCAGTGCAGACAGTTATCCAAATTGTGTGTGAATGAACCAAAACACAAGTCCAAGTGCGTTTTTTTACCAGGAAACAACATGATAACACATTAGAAAATAGTGCAATACGAGCCCTTTAAGCAATCAGATAAAGAAAAAGTTGTCATTTTAACACAGTTTTGATAGTTTTCCAGTAACCACCAGATGTTTCGTGTCAACAATGCCCAACAATCTCCTGCACACGAGCCCGGGGAGGTGACACTGATCCCGGGCTGTCAAAACTTGCAGGGCTCGCTCTCCTCCTCTTCCACAGTCACCAGTCAGTTTTGCCCATTCTTTCACACAGTTGTTTCGTGTCAACAATGCCCAACAATCTCCTGCACACGAGCCCGGGGAGGTGACACTGATCCCGGGCTGTCAAAACTTGCAGGGCTCGCTCTCCTCCTCTTCCACAGCTCGGTCCATTTTCCAGCCCGAAACAATAGAAATCCCGGGTAAACAAAGCGATCCGTGCACGGCATTGCTTTCACATTCCCCGCAAACTCCACGGACATAAAGGAAAAAGCGTGACAAGGCTAAAAAAGCAAGGGTTTTAGCTTAGCCGCCGATGCTACATACCCAGTAACCAGCATGGAACAAGGTGGAAATATCAGCTAAACAGGCAATTTATGGTTAAAAGCAACAAATTGGTTAATAAAGCTGGATTTAAAAGTATCTAATAGGATTTACGCAAACTTTTAGAGGGGTAATCCAGCATGCAAGCTAGCTTAATTGGCTGGAGTCAATTCTTTGCCCTCATTTTTTTTTTTTTTTTTTTTTGGTTATAAGCAAATCCTGAGTACATTGGAAAACGCGTGGAGCAGGAATGGCTCGTCCAGCGCAAAGTCTGGCGTCCAAACGAGACGAAAGCGGCTGAAATACGGCGTTAATGTGCGTGTTAAAAGGTAATGGATACTCACTGTTCAGCGCACGATTGGAGCACCGCTGGTCCTGGTGGTTATGGGTGCAGCCTCGGGAACAGCAGCCGCAGACGAGCTGCTCACAGGCGGCAGAGGAACAAAGCGGAGCCGCGGGCACGCTGCGCCCTCTGCCGGACACTACGGGGAAGTGCAACTGCGAAGATACGATGTAACTTTTTTTATTTTTTTTTAAGAATTTATTTACTTTTTTTTTTTTTTTATCTATAATCTATACTCTTTTAAATCTATAATTATAATGATAATAAATCTATAATTTATTTATTTATTTTTATCTTTTTTTTGGGGGGGGGGTGTGTAACTGCGAAGATGAGCTGTAACTTTTTTTTTTTTAAAGAATTTATTTAGATTTTTTTTTTTTTTATCAAATATTACATCCATGCACTGTAACTTTTTTTTCCCAATAATTTTTAAATTTTTTTTTTTTAAATTTTTTTCGGTTAAGTGTAACTGCGAAGATGCACTGTAACTTTTTTTTTCAAGGATTTGTGTCTTTTTTTTTTTTTTTTTTTTTTTTTTTTTTTTCAGGGAAGTGTAACTGCAAAAATGCACTGTAAGTTTTTTTTTTTTAGTTTTTTTTTTTTTTTAGGAATTTATTTAGATTTTTTTTTTTAAATCTAATATTCCATCCATGAGATGTAACTTTTTCCCCCAATAATTTATTTATTTATGCACTGTAACTTTTTTTTTTTTTTTTTTCAAGAATTTTTTTCTTTTTTTTTTTTTGGAGGGGGGGGACTGTAACTGTGACGATGCACTGTAACTTTTTTTTTTTTTTATTTTTTAAAGAATTTATTTACTTTTTAAAAAAAATCTATAATCTATAATCTTTTAAATCTATAATTATAATGATAATAAATCTATTATTTATTTATTTTATTAATTTTTATCTTTTTTTTTTCGGGGAAGTGTAAATGCAAAGATGCACTGTAACTTTTTTTTTTTTTAAGAATTTGTTTCTTTTTGTTTGTTTGTTTTGTTTTTTTCTTTTATCTAATTTTTCCATCCATGCAATTAGAACAGTTTTTTTGTTTGTTTGTTTTTCCTTCAGGGAATTGCAACTGCAAAAATGCACTGTAACTTTTTATTTTTTAGGAATTTATTTAGATTTTTTTTTTTTTTATCTTATATTCCATCTATGCGCTGTAACTTTCCTCCCAATCATTTATTTATTTATTTATTTATTTATTATTATTATTATTTTATTTATCTTTTTTGGGGGGGAAGTGTAACTGCGAAGATGCGCTGTAACTTTTTTTTTTCCAAGCTTTTTTTTTTGTTTGTTTGTTTGTTTGTTTTTTATCTAATATTCCATCCATACAATTACAATAGTTTTTTGTTTGTTTGCTTGTTTTTTTATTTTTTTGTTTTTGTTTAGTTTTTTTTTTTAGGTTTTATTTTGATGTATTATTTATGCATGTATTTCTTTGTTAAAAAATAAATAAAAATGTAATAGCATATAATTTTTTGTGACAATATTCTACATTTATTTATTTATTTATTTATTCGTTTCATGGAGCTTGGATGTGTGGCACAGTAACACATGGAGGTGCAGTGCATTTTATTTAAAATTTTTATATTTTTCAAGAATAAAAAAAAAGTCCCTTGCATACAGTTATAATATTTATTTATTTACTGATTCAATGACATTCTTTTTTGTCACTTTTTTTTTTTTTTGCAATATTTTACATTCATTTATCTATTTTCTTATTTGTCTATTTATTTTATGGATCTTAGGTTTGAAGCTTACAGGGCAGTACTGTGTATTTTTACTCTAACTTTTTTTTTTTTTTCAAGAATAAAAAACTCCCTTGCATACGGGTACAATATTTATTTATTTATTTATTTATTTAGGCTATTTGAGATTATTTTTAAAAAACTGATATCTCCTTTTAATATTCTATGTTTATTTTTAATCCCAAATTAGACAAAACTGCAAATTAGAATTTTTCTGGTGGAGGGTCCATCAAATGCTTTTCTCCATGGAGATGTGTGGCATTAAACCTTTCGAACCAAACCAATTTACAGGTCTGATCTGTGGAGATGCAACCCCGCTCACAGTCAGAATGTTGTTTTTCTAGATATTTCTGAGCTATAAAACCACCTGTAATTGAATAAATGTAAGGTAGAGCTGTTTAAAGTCACGCTGTGGAACATTAAAGGCAGAGTAATGACATATCTATAGAAACGAGCAGGTGACGGACCCTCAGCAAACAGTAAATCTACCAATATTTTCCTCTACATTTGTGTGCGTGGCCCCGTCTTCCTTTCTAACACCTCTCCCCTGACCCGTAGTCTGTCTGTCTACAGGAGGATGAGCTCAGGTATCACACAGAAACTTGACTCTAAAACTCCGTTGCTATGAATTCAGCGTCATAACAACATCCCACATGATTCCGGTATCCTCGGAGGAGCAGAGGGAGACGGCCGCACAGCCAGGAAAAACAAGGTGGGTAAATGCGCTGACAGCAAATTACAAACTGTTTCATATCGGTAAGTAAACTGCAAAATGGTCTTGGTGTATTGTAGTAGTTTTATGTTTTTAAAGGGTCATTACGGAACTTTTCTGGTGGGGTATCAGCTACACGTTTCCTAGTGTATTTAGATGTTATTGCTTTGAATGGAACAGTACGACATTAAACTTTTATTGCCTGTATTATGTAACTGCAGGTGCTTTATTTATTTATTTTTTAACACTCTGTTTATTGTGTTTTTGTCATCCAATACACAGTGCCAGTCCATAAAATATGACATCAGACATGTCAAAAAGATTAATCAGTCATTCAAGCAAGGTATACAAAAATATACATGTCATTATATTTGTCAATATAATATTTTAGGACCCGTATGGATTATAAATATTGTATGATGGATGAATTACAGGTGCTTTATTGACCAAAAATAAAGATTTTTAAAGACCGAGACCGATACAAGACCCTAGACTTTTAAAGGCCAAGACAGAGACAAGATTGAGACTTTTAAAGTTTGAGTCTGAGACAAGACTGAGACTTTTAAAGGTCAAGACCGAGACAAGACCGAGATTTTTAAAGACTGAGACTGAGACAAGACCGAGATTTTTAAAGGCTGAGACTGAGACAAGACCAAGACTTTTAAAGGCCAAGACTGAGACAAGACAAAGATTTTTAAAGGCCAAGACAGAGAAAAGATTGAGACTTTTAAAGGCTGAGACCAAGACAAGACTGAGACAAGACCGAGCCTTTTAAAGGCCAAGGCCGAGACAAGATCGACACTTTTAAAGGCCAAGACCGAGACAAGACAGAGACTTTTAAAGATCAAGACTGAGACAAGACTGAGACTTTTAAAGATCAAGACTGAGACAACACTGAGACTTTTAAAGGCCAAGACTGAGACAAGACCGAGACAAGACTGAGACTTTTAAAGATCAAGACTGAGACAAGACTGAGACTTTTAAAGATCAAGACTGAGACAAGACTGAGACTTTTAAAGGTCAAGACTGAGACAAGACTGAGACTTTTAAAGATCAAGACTGAGACAAGACTGAGACTTTTAAAGATCAAGACTGAGACAAGACTGAGACTTTTAAAGATCAAGACTGAGACAAGACTGAGACTTTTAAAGGCCAAGACCGAGACAAGACAGAGACTTTTAAAGATCAAGACTGAGACAAGACTGAGACTTTTAAAGATCAAGACTGAGACAAGACTGAGACTTTTAAAGATCAAGACTGAGACAAGACCGAGACAAGACTGAGACTTTTAAAGATCAAGACTGAGACAAGACTGAGACAAGACTGAGACTTTTAAGACAAGACTGAGACAAGACGAGACTTTTAAAGGTCAAGACTGAGACAAGACTGAGACTTTTAAAGAGACGAGACAAGAGACTTTTAAAGAAGACCGAGACAAGACTGAGACTTTTAAAGATCAAGACTGAGACAAGACCGAGACAAGACTGAGACTTTTAAAGGTCAAGACTGAGACAAGATCGAGACTTTTAAAGGCCAAGACCGAGACAAGACAGAGACTTTTAAAGATCAAGACTGAGACAAGACCGAGACAAGACTGAGACTTTTAAAGATCAAGACTGAGACAAGACTGAGACTTTTAAAGGCCAAGACCGAGACAAGACTGAGACTTTTAAAGATCAAGACTGAGACAAGACCGAGACAAGACTGAGACTTTTAAAGGCCAAGACTGAGACAAGACTGAGACTTTTAAAGGCCAAGACCGAGACAAGACTGAGACTTTTAAAGATCAAGACTGAGACAAGACCGAGACAAGACTGAGACTTTTAAAGGTCAAGACTGAGACAAGACGAGAGACTTTTAAAGATCAAGACCAAGACCGAGACAAGACTGAGACTTTTAAAGATCAAGACTGAGACAAGACAGAGACAAGACTGAGACTTTTAAAGATCAAGACTGAGACAAGACTGAGACTTTTAAAGGCCAAGACCGAGACAAGACTGAGACTTTTAAAGATCAAGACTGAGACAAGACCGAGACAAGACTGAGACTTTTAAAGGCCAAGACCGAGACAAGACCGAGACTTTTAAAGGCCGAGACCAAGACAAGACTGAGACCACGACCCATCGAGACCAAATTGAGACCATCTTTGTATTTTACAGTTATTTATATCAATGTTTTTATAAATCTGTCTCCATTTTATCTCTCGTCGCCGTCGAGTGTCAGACCTCGAGACCGAGACAAGACCGAGTCCAAACGCGGTTGAGTCCGAGACGAGACTAAGACCAAGTGTAGCTACATGACACATTTGATTGACAGCTGAAAAATGAATTATAGAGGGGAGGAATCAAGGGGAAGGAAGCGAGGAAAGAGAAACGTGACACGACCTAGGTGTTTAATCCCACTTTAAACTGTACTAATAACTCCTCCTAAACCCTCTTTTCTTCTTCTCTCTCAGCTTAATGGCGTTCCCGGCAGACAGCGCCCCCTACTACATCGGAATGCAAAACACAGTTCATCCTTTCCCCAACTCCGGTTTTCCTCCTCCTGGCCCTCCTCCTCCATACAACACCGTACCCCCCGCTGCTCCTGCCCACATGCCCGCCCCGGGACCCGCCATCCCCGGCTGCCCCCCTGGACTCGAGTACCTCACGCAAATCGACCAAATACTCGTGCAGCAAAAAGTCGACTACGCGGAAATGATCATCGGATGGGAAATGAGCAACAATTACGTCATCAAAAACAGCATGGGGCAGCAGATATTCACCGCCAGAGAGGACGATCGAAACTTCTTCACGATGCAGTTTTACGGTCCGCTTAGACCTTTCGACATCCACATCCACGATAACTTCGGACGCGAGGTTTTAACTGTAACGCGTCCGGTAAAATGTGGATCTTGCTGTTTTCCGTGCTGTCTCCAAGAAGTGGAAATCCAAAGCCCGCCGGGATTTCCCATAGGTTACGTTGTACAGGACTGGCACCCGTTTTTGCCGAAGTTTACGGTTTTAGACGCAGCTCGGAGCGCGCAGTTGAAGATAAAGGGTCCGTTTTGTGATTGTAAGTGCTGCTCGGATGTGGTGTTTGAGGTTTTGTCCCGGGATGAGGAGGGAGTGGTGGGGCAGATTTCCAAACAGTGGGGAGGGTTTCTGCAGGAAGGTTTCACCAACGCGGATAATTTTGGGATTTCGTTTCCGATGGATTTGGATGTTAAAGGTAAAGGCGGTGCTGCTCGGAGCGGTGTTCCTCATAGATTTTATGTATTTTGAGAACAATAAAAATAATAATAGTTAGGTTCATACAGAGGCAAAAGGGTAGAAAAATGTTATTACCAGTTACACTTTGAAGTAATGCTTAACTTTTTGTACTACAAGGTTTTAGTTTAAAGTACAAAACATGTTATAATGTTGTTTCCTCATCACAAACAGACCTGGAGTTCTGAGTTTTGTTTCATTCACACGTCTAACATACAAACCCTGCAGATTTAGGTTGAGTTTTTCTCTCAAACTGAAAACACTTCCACCTTGTGATGTGATAATACAATAAGTGCTCCACTGTGTTTATAAACGACATACAACTTCACAAGAATCATTTAAATGATTTCAGCCCTGGAATTGCCAGTCTCTATTGAATTAACTTGACAGGTGTCAGCTTTCCACAAAATGGAACAAAGAATTTTGGGCTGAGATGTAGACAGGTTTCACTGTGACTTGAAATTGAAATTGAACTCCCTCTCCAGGTGGGTGGAGAGTCTGTCTCAAGTGGAGGAGTTCAAGTATGTCGGGGTCTTGTTCACGAGTGAGGGGAGGACGGAGCGTGACGGATTGACAGGTGGATCGGTGCAGCTTCTGCAGTGATGTGGCCGCTGTATCGAACCGTTGTGGTGAAGAGGGAGCTGAGCTGAAAGGCAAAGCTCTCGATTTACCGTCAGTCTTACTACGCTTATGTATGGTGATGAGCTCTGAGTAATGACCGAAAGTACAAGCGGCCGAAATGAGTTTCCTCCACAGGGTGGCTGGGTGCTCCTTCAGAGATAGGGTTAGGAGCTCAACCACACAGGAGGAGCTCGGACTAGAGCCGCTGCTCAGAGGAGAAGCTGAGCTGGCTCAGGGTTCTGTTCTGGATGCCTCCTGGCACCTCCCTCGGGAGGTGTCCCAGGCATGTCCCAACAGAAGGAGGCCCCGGGGAAGACTCAGGACACGCTGGAGGGACTATGTCATCTATGATCATCTCATGGTTCCCTCGGAGGAGCTGGAAGCTGCTTGGACTGCTACCCTCATGACCCAGTCAGAGACAAGCAGAAGAAATTGGATGAATGGATGGAGAAGTAGACAGACTAATAATAAAGTTACTCAAACATGTGTGAATGAAACAAAACACAACTCCAGGTCTGTTTTTGATTAGGTAAAATGGATTAAAGCTCACAAGAGTCGATTTTGTGTAAAATAGAACCTTTAAAAAAATCACCACAACCACAAAATGTGTCTGTGTTCAAATGTTTTAATAAAAGCACAAAGAAGAGTTGCAGTTTTACTGAAGAAAAAAAAAAAATCTGTTCGTACATCTCAAGCCATAAGCACTCAGGGTTTCACTGTTAATTCTGCATCAGCACCGACACAAACAACCTTCACTATATTTTCATTGCTCTGACATCTTATTAACACATTTTTTTTCCTTAAATCATATGTCCTATTGTGAATTTGTTACTTGTTTTTAAGTTATTTGCTCACTTGTGTAAATTAAAATAACAAGTCTCAGTATAGTTGTTATGTGGCAAATAGTTTAAATATATGTGTTTTTACAAAAAAAAAACTACACTTAAGAAGACATTGGTCTGATTTGCAAAATTGACTTTTAAATGCTTATAATCATGTTATAATTTGGGGTGATTCATGCATGTTTGAATAATCCCACATTGTTCTGTCTTTGGAAGTTTGAGTGCTCTGAAAATGTCTCAAAACTTTAAGTCATGCACATTAGGTAAAAATGTTGTTTATGTTGATTTGTCAAATATGTAAAAATATGTAAATAAGAACCTGCTGCTTACAGTGAAATCGCTGTGTTCAGAAGCAGCAGCAGAGACTCAGTTGTGCATTTTTTCTGATGAACTTGTTGTACATCAATATTACCGTTTACAGTGAAGAAAACGATGAAATATGTCTGTCATAGTGTATTATAGGAATGGAACGATAACCAAAATATCGTGATATCGTATCGTCAAAAGTCTCACAATAATTTCGTGGTCTGTCACAATATATCGAATCACAAGTTCCTTTACTTAAATGCATGGTTTTATAGTAGCAACAACTTATAAACATAAGGAACTACATCTCCCATGATTCATTTCAGTGCAAAAAACATACAGGAATATGTTTTTTACTTAAATACATCATGAATTTCGGACTTCAGGTCATAGCACAATGTATATTGGGAAGGGTCCTCAGAAAAAGTGAGCGTCAAACCACCATGTTTGTTTTCCCAGTGGGATGCGTCTATTGACAAAGTCGATCTTTTCAAGTCTTTTGAACCATATCACTTTTGTTTCTGGTTCTGATATTGTCATATTTTAGTTTTGGGATTCGGACATCGTAATTGTGTGGTTGTTCGAATGTCCCAACAGCGGAAAACGGCTCGAGAAATGGGCTTTGGACGTTTGCAAACTCCATAGATGCAAAAGGGAATCAGATGCGTGTGACTGCAAAACCTCTGTTCAAACTGTTTCCCAACGGAATTGAAAAATAGTGAAAGGTGAAGGTGATGGGCAGGATTGATCCACGGGAAGGACCAAAAAAGAAACCTTTGACTGCCTAAATCATCCCGAGTTTGCAGTGAACATTTTGTATGTGGAGCCATCAAAGTGGGATCCCGTTTGTTAAGTGAGAGGTACAGAAGACAAACAGACTGAGCTGCACTTTCTTGTTCGACTTTACAGCAACATCATGTCTTGGTCTCTTTGCAGTGGAAGGTGTTTCTTGATGAACAGATGGTGCCTTTCGCTTTGGCGTTGACTTTTTAAATTTGCACCCAAGGTGGAGCGAGGGATCGGGATTTTGCTTTGATGGCTCTCCACATATAAAATGTTCACTGCAAACTCGGGATGATTTAGGCAGTCAGAGGTTTCCTTTGAGGTTTCCTCCTTCTCTACAGCAAATCAAGTAATCCAAAGTATTCAGATTATGTTACTCACTTTAAGTAATTTAATGGATTACATTACAAACTACATTTTGGGATATGTAATCTGTAATCTGTAGGGGAATACATTTTAAAAGTAACCTTCCCAACACTGGACATTTCCATGGAATCAAGCAGGAGAGAGGTTTGTGGAGATGCAAGCGCACAGAAAGGCAGCATGTTTTTACGCACGAAAAACCCATCCATAAAAGGTTACGTATTGTGGCTTTAAAGAGTGTGAATGAAATTGTCGGCGTAGTTGAGCATGTGTTTGAGAGTACTCAGGACCAGTGTGTCCATGCCTTCATTTCCTTGGTGGTATTTCATGCAGTAGTTTCTCACTGGGAAAAAGTGGTTCTCATCAAACCCCACGTCTGCCCCATATTCTCTTATCTGCAAACAGGAAATACACAGAAATGTCAGAAACATGTGAGATTTAAAAAATCTGTTCACAAAGATTTGTTTAATTGTGTAATTTGAAGAAAAGTCTAGAGTGTCAAACTTTATTGTGCACTGGAAAAAAACAATGCCTAGTTAAATTAAAATGACTTAAATTAAGAACATTTGACTGTATTTGAGTCGATTCAACTTGAGAAGTAAAAATATCTACCGTGTGTTTTTCTTAATTCAAGCAGCATTCGTTTTTATTTCTTATTTTAAGTGTAGCAAGATGCATTTTCATATTTTAAGCACAAAAAGTCTTGTTCCACTGGTAGATATTTGTAGCCTAATTCATCAGACGGTTTCACTTCGTAGAAACCGTCTGACCTCGCAGCATTAGGATTCGTTCGCTCGACGGTATGCAGGTACTTTTTTTATTTAAACAATTGCTGCTATTTGGTCATGACATATGTAATGCACCAAATCCCGTAGGAAGAAGGACAATAGCGTCTTTCCCCTTGATAAAAGTCACCAAAACATTTTCTTTGTACCGGCTTTAAATCCTCGATCTCGGGAATCATTGCCAACACAGAATGTATGGCTCTTCTCTGATTGGCTGATGCTCGAACTTGCACTTCCTGGGTTCTTGCAAAGCGTTTAGTGCAGGGGTGTCAAACATACGGCCCGGGGGCCAAATCCGGCCCTCTAAGACCTTTAATCTGGCCCTCGGCAGATTTTCGACTAAAATATTTTAAAGATATTTTCTATTAAAATATTGGTAATTTTCTGCGGTGTTTATCATAGCAGCGTCTCCAGCGTCTCTGTACGTGGCCCCTCCCACCAGAGCAGCACAAATGAAGACTTGTCTCTTTCCAAACGCTCTCTTTTTTGACAAAAATGTCAAAAATCTTTATTTACATACAAGTTAATGTTAAAACATTTTGTTGAAATTGTATTTTTCTTAAAGTTTCAGGTTGTTCATAATATTATAATATTTTGTAAAAGAAAGAGTTCATCAATTAAAAAAGATTTCTGTAATGGATTTGCATTTCTCTGCACAAATATTTGTACTTATTGCTATTTTTGGGACATATATGCCATGAGTTTTCTGATCCGGCCCCTTTGGGATCAAAGTAGATTGGATACGGCCCCCGGACCAAAATGAGTTTGACACTCCTGGTCTAGTGTATTCTGATTCCTGATCTAGTCGCTGGAGAGAAATGAAATAGAGCGGCGGCACTAGGTGGCGCCAGCCTGGCTAAGATATTTTGACTTGTCGAGTGAAATTTACTCAAATCAGGATAAAACTTTCTTAATTAAAGTGATCACTAGAATTGTTTGTTTGTTGCAGTGTAATCTTTCAGTGGATACTGCGATTATGTGTCCTGAGGCAAAACACTTCCCCACCTTGTATAAATGTGGTGTATGAGTAACACCAGGTTCATATTAAAGGGCCCATTAAGTTATGTTCTAAGTTTTAATGTTGTTTTCTCATCACAAACAGACCTGGAGTTGTGTTTTGTTTCATTCACACATGTTTGACACACAAACCCTGCAGATTTAGCTCAGTTCTTAAATGGAAAACACTGTTCCACCTTGTGATGTCATGTGGTAATACAGAAAGTGCTCCATTGTGTTTTTAAACTCCACACACCTTCACTAGAGTCATTTGGATAATTTCAACCTTGGAATTGCCAATCTTACATCAGTTACAGGTGTTTTCAAAGCTCATAAAATCCCATTCTGACTGTGAGCGGGATCGCCTCTCCACAGATCTGACCTATAACTTGGTTTAGTTTGGTGTACATGGAGATAGAAAGGTTTAATGCCGTACTGTGAAACATTCCAGACAAAGCAGTAACATCGCCATGGACAAAAGCATTTGACGGACCCTCCACCAGTAAAGTTACACAATGCACCTTTAATACTTTTACTTAAATTGATTTTTCATGTGATACTTTTACTTTTTTGCTCCAGTATCTGTACTTTTACTTAAGTAACAAAATGGAGTACTTCTTCCAACACTGAGCATTTGTAACTCCAAACCAAACCCAAAGAATGACTGATTATGTTTATGTTGTTATGTCTGATGTCTTCCTTATGATCAATTTAATGCTAAAAATATCAATTATTGATCTACAGAATATTTAAGTAACTGAAAGATAAATAGAAAAACACATGAGTTAAAATGGCTTGATTTGAATATTAACTCACCTTATCTAAAATATCTTTAACATGGAAGATATTTTGAACGTTCGCTTTGGCTTCTGTATTGATGAGATCACAGTGCGTCAAAACGGCCACATGAGGAATATCTGAAGACACAACAACATTTCAGCTTTAGTTTACATAAGAATTTAACACAGACAGTTAACAGCTGACTTTCCCAAAAGGCGGTTCTCACTCAGATCTCGGGCCACACTTCTCATTCTTCGTATCTTCTCGATGACTGAGGAGTGGAGGGTTGGAGAGTGTGCAGGGAGCACACAAACCAGAAGGTGCACCTTGTCCTCTGGAGCAGGGCTTGGGTTGTAAAACTTTGAGTTTGTGTCTGTCAGCGGAGAGGAAGCGTTGAACTGCAACAGGAGAAATCAGTGACATTAACATTTTTGTGCATGTTTAGAAGAGTGTGTAGACCCACACAGGGCTGCTGCTGTAATGTGCCAGTGAAGAACGATGGGACAAATGCTGAGGATACATTTCTCATGGGGGATTAATCAAGTATATCTCAACCTTAAAGTGCCTTGTGGGATGATTTTAGTGCAGCTTTAGTGCTTCAGTCAAAGCACTTTAGATAAAGGTATCGCTCACCCATCCACACACATTCTTTTGTACACTTTGAATATAATAAATAATAATAATAAATAAATAAACACTTAAGCCAAGCCCACCATGGACTGACTTCCTAAAAGACTCTGAACATGAGCTTCATCTCCACAGGGCTGAGTACTCTCCCTCCCCTGCTCCACACAGGGTCTGATCACAGCTCACCCACAGATCCCCAAAGAAAACCACCCTTTTATTGTTCTATGTTGTCTTTTTAGTGATATTTTGTAACAATCTTTCTGTGCACCTGCAGGGACAACATATGAAAATAAGCACTTCTGCAATAATGCAACTTTCCCATAGCAACAGAGTGGCTGGCTGCTTTTGTAGCTACTTTCTGTTTGTTTGAACTCAGTTTTTAACCTCATATTATGGGATTTTAACCAACTTTACTTTACTTTTAAGGCAATATGACCAAACATATGCATCAAATATATTGTGTATCTGCATATGTGAGTGTAAAGTGGAAGGAGATGAAGAGATTTGAATTAGTAACCAAAGGATTAAACTGAAAATAAAATTGAAAATGTTTAAATCAAATTGCTTTTGTGTTTTTCTGTTCCATTAATGAAATAAATCTTTATTATTATTATTATTATTATTATTTATTTATTTTTTTTTTTAATTCAAAATCAACTGTGTGCTCCACAATTAGCTGGAGGATAACTTCTGTTTTGCGACACCTTGTGGCTCTTACATGAAACCTTTTCAAAACAATACAGCTATCTATGGAACTCACAACAGAACTACTAAGAGTAATAAAATAATGGAAAGAATAGTGCAGCAGCATAAAGTTAAGCAGGTTAAATATGGGATATATAGATTCTGAGACCTTGTATCCGTCCCTCACGTGTCCTTTCAGAATCAGAACCAGGTCCTCCACGTGAATGCCCTGGTCTTTGAGCGGCTCCAGTCCCATTGTGTCCGTGAACACAAACGGAAAACAATCATCTGACTGATCTTTACGGATTTTGTACGTTTTGTACTACAGAAAACACAAAAAACAGATTAACAACATTAATGCAAGAACAGATCTGAGTGAAACATCAAGAGTGACAGAGTGAAACATGTGCAGTCCATTTGTACTTGTGTACCTGTATATATCTCCATGTTCTCTCTTACCTCATTAGTAAAGCTCTTGGACTCGTCCATTTGTGAACTAACTGGAGCAGGAATGGCTGAAGTCTGTCGGAGGACGGTGGTCAGAGTGTTGATAAAACTGGACTTGCCCGCACCCACAGGTCCATACAACAGGATGTGCAAATGTTTCACGTTGTCTCTTGAAGGTTTGAAGTTCTTTATAAAGTTCAGAAGATCTATTTTCTCTCTGTTGACAAGAATCTTTCATTTTGTCATCTATAGAATGAAAGTCATATGTTTTGCCTGATCAGCCTGGACTCCCTATACCCCAGACTCGACCGGTCATGACTTCACATGAAGTGATTTGACAGGCAAAATTAACAGATCAGACATTTTCCTGGTATGTTTGTGTCAAAAACTAATATTACAGTTTATAAGTAAAAAAGAAAGAAGAATAACACAGTAGATTTCTGTCAAATAGAAAGACGAGAGCAACTTAAGTTTGTAATCTGGGGTAAAAGCATTTAAGTTTTTGAGAGACATCTTAATGTATTTGAGTAAATTACATATTAATGAAAAGTATGTTGAATGCAAAATTTTCATCAATTTTTTTTACTAAGTCAGAATAATACAGAATAAACCAGGTCCCAAAGTGGTTCTCTATTCTGTTCTTAATGTGTGCTCACTTCCAGTTGAAGTCCCTCCACGGCTCCTCTAAGACTGCAGACAAAACAAAGAAAATAAAGTCAATCACTCCAAAGCACTAAAGAATACTACTATTACTACTACTACTATTAATAATAATAATAATAATGATAATAATAATAATGATAATAATTCTTGATTGTCCAAAATGTGGCACTTCAGTGACTTACGTTTGGCTGCAGGGAGAAAAACAAACAAAGATTATATCAGATGTGGTACCTGCATTCAGCTGTAAAACAAACACTGTAAACTGTACAGTGTAAAACTAATGTGTTTACATACTTCATGTTTACAACTTAAACATACAACGCTACTTACATGCTTTGGATCCCATTGGGTTATTGTCTCAGAAATAGCTGAAGCAAAAATAAGATCATTAAATTATATATACGTTGGTAATCTATATCTGTCTTTAACTATACATTGAATGCATGCGCTGAGTACTGAAGGGCGCTCAGTGAATAGCTCTTACCTGCAAAAACTGTCTCTTACTCACTGCACCTTATGTAAAGCAGTGCTGTGTGCATTGAATTATAAACTCTCTCACAGTTTTCTTTTGGTTTTATGAACTCTCTCACGGTCATATAAAAGGAACCCAGTTTCCGTTTTGTCAAGAACTTCACATAACCCGTAATGTGACAGACACCTGTATATGCTCAGAGTTGGATGGTATTTCCTGTGGCAGGAAGAACGATGCAGAGAGCAGTGCCCTGCAGACTGAGCCCCGATGTTTATGAAACCAAGGTGAGGTTATAAGAGAGAACAGGACTGCACTGGCATCAAAACAACAATGAAATAACACTGCACTGATAACACAGACGGAAGTGAATAATTTTAAATACGTTTTTTGGTGTTTTTTGGTTGAAATTGCAGAATGTCGACTGAAAACCCCGATACTCTTGATGAGGTGAAGACAAATGTGAGTGACATGTTTACATTTGCATAAAAATTAAATCCTCACATTGGATTCTAAGGTGTGTGTGATTCTTTTCTGTTCCAGACTGAAATGAACAAACTCCTACATCAACTCGAAACTGTTGCATCTCGTGATTTATTTCAATGTTTGTTTCATTACTGCACATTATGGTTTTTATTTGTTTTATTTCAGGGATTATTTTGTAAACTCTCTTCTTTCTGCTGAAGGTGCTGACAAACTTGTAAACAGCTGTTATGAGAAAAGACCAATAGAGGAGGAAGAAGTGAAAACACTGCTCACAGCACTGGTGACTGAAATGCACAAGCTAAAGCAAGGTGAGTGAACTGCAGCCTACAAGTTAAATATTCTGAAGTTTTAAAAAAATAAAGCATTGAAGATATTATATCTAATTTGTCTTTCAGACAAATTGAGCTGGTTTTCTTTCTGTTGTCCACAACACAAAGTGAAGGTCAAAACAGTAATAGCAGCAGAAACTTATGGTGCTCATGAGAAGATTCTGAAGTTGGTAAATGCGCGTGAACATCTCACTGACTATGAGTGGGTCCTGCTCTTCTGTCCCGTCATTTCTCGCATTCAGACAGACGTGGAGGCGGCCTTGGCAGCTATTCCAGGTAAATACTGTTATATAATAAAACATAATTCCACTTTCCAACAGGCAAAACCACACATAAGCAGCCAGGTCAAATTAACAATAAAACCAAAAAAGAAATATATATAGTGTAATGGCTGGTATCACTTGAATATAGTATAGCTTATAGTAAATTCATATTTTAATGCATTTTGACTGACTTTAATGTAATTCTTTTCTCAAACAAAAATATTAGCCAGGAGTTACTGATTGATATTATCAATATAATTATTATAGAATTACAATTTATGTTTAAAATACACCGTCATGCTGAATGCTTTATGCCTTAAAAATGCTCTAATATTATGATTTTTGTCTGTTTTTTTCAGAGAAAGCAAAGGAGAAGAAGATAGTTTTGGTGCTGATGTTTCACACCACAGACGTGGATTATTCAACAAAAACTCGACTGAACTTTCAGAATGTTGCCTTGACTGTTAAAGTCCTTTACCATAAAAGCACAAATGGATATTTTAAATGTGACAAAAATAACCAAGCCATAGAACAACTGAAAACATTCTTCATGTCTGACACGAATGCCCAAACTAAAAAAATGCACAGTGTTCCCACAGCGATGTCTGAAATCGTGTAATGTGGGCCCTTTAAAATAGTAGACTGTAGTAATATTGTAGAAAAAAAAAAAAAACAGTTATATTTATCCTTTCCCCAAAATAATTTATGACCAAACTTATTAATTTTGTAAAATTAGCACTGATAATCCTAAATTTTTAAACAAACCAAGAGTCAGAAAATGTAAATTGTATATACATTCATTATATTACTATTTTGGTCACTGGGACTTCATCTCAAGAAACAACACATTCTTGTTGATTTTTTATAAATAAATGCTATAGATAGATATTTTCAGATCACATTTGTGTAAATTGTGTAAATACGCCAAAGCAGTGTTGTGAATACACTATTAAAATGTTAATACAGTTTGAAAACACGATTTTTATTATGAATTTATTAAACTAGAGCTGCTATTTCCTGGACAGTTGTGCACCTTCACTTTTATTCTATCTTGTCCTAACTTTGGACCAACTATGTTTAAACTAGGGGTGTCAAATTATCGCGTTAATTGCGATTAATTAATTACAGTCATATTTAGCGCATTATGTTTTTTAATCGCGTTAATCTCATTTTTAATCTCTAACTTTAGTGTTTCTGTATGTGAGTTGCTTTATTATAAAACCTGTTTATATGTGTTGTTGGGACAACAACAGACACACAAAAAAAACACATTTATACATTTTTTTATTTCGGTAATTCCACTCATTGCCGGAAACCCACACAAAACGCGCGCAGTAAGAGCGATGTAAACGTCATGTTAACGTTGGCGGCGTCAGTCGCACAATGGACGAGGTCGAAGAGCCAGTAGAACAGAGGCAGCAGTGCACAGGTAAAAACACATTCGTGTCTTGGAAATTATTCTCCCGACGTAAATATAAAAAGAAAATAACAAATATAAAATCGCCTACAACTTAAACGTCACTGGTGAAAACAACCTGCATAAACTCATGATGTCTGCACTACTGTGACCTGCCACATGAGGGGACACGCACACAAACACACAAACACACACAAACACACACAAACAAACACACACACAAACACAAACACACACAAACACACACACACAAACACACAACACACACACACTTCATCATCGTCATTAACCTGAGAACGCGCAGGACCACGTTTCCTTCCGTAGACACTGCGCGGACACCGACGTGCTCCCGTGAGCCGCGTGTGGATCGTGTTTTCTCGCGTACGCGGCGTAAACCGCGCTTCCTCCTGTGAGCCTCTAAACCAGAACTAAACACCAAGACTGAAAACCAGGACTTACCCAGTCCAGGACTAAACTAGGTCTAAACCAGGACTAAACCAGGACTAAACCAGAACTAAAACCAGAACTAAAACCAGGTCTAAACCAGGTCTAAACCAGGACTAAACCAGAACTAAAACCAGAACTAAAACCAGGTCTAAACCAGGACTAAACCAGAACTAAAACCAGAACTAAAACCAGGTCTAAACCAGGACTAAACCAGAACTAAAACCAGAACTAAAACCAGAACTAAAACCAGGACTAAAACCAGGATTAATCCATTCCAGGACTAAACTAGGACTAAAGTAGGACTAAAGCAGGTCTAAACCAGGACTAAAACAAGGACTAAAACCAGTGATCTCATATATAAAGCATTTCTCTATCAATAATATTTTTAATATGGTTAAGGAAAGACTGGACTTTTTATTGTCTTTAATTAGACAAAAGTTATTATGTTCAGATTTCCTCGTCTTTGCTACTTTACAGCAAACAGTTTCTTATTCATGGAGACTTGGGCTCAACAGCCAATTTGTGAAAATTTGTTAAACAATAAATGACTTTATAAATTCACTTTTTTAAATCTATATTGGTCTTTTGATCTGCCACAATAATGTAATAATGAATTTAAATGAAAATACCTCAAATTGAAGGCTTTTCTCAGCAATTTTTAGGTGAGATTAAAATGAGATTAATTAGATTAATTAATTACAGATCATAATTAATTAATCTCTCAATTTTTTTAATTGCATGACAGCACTAGTTTAAAGGTGCATTTTTTTTATACAGAATGTTTCACAGTATTTAACATTTTTGTCTTCATGGAGACCAAACCAGACCAACCAATTACATGTCAGATCTGTGGAGAGACAACGCCACTCATGACCAGAATGCTTTTTTTTTTTTTTTTTTTTTTTTTTCACGATATTTTTGAGCTATAAAATGACCTGTAATTGAATAAATGTAAAGTAGAGCTGTTTAATGTCCAGGCAGAGCAGTGATGTATCCATAAAAACACGCAGGTGACTGACCCCCAACCAGAAAGTTACATAATGCCCCTTTATTTTTTCCCCATAATGTTCCACATAGCATTAAATTGATCTCTCTCCAAGTCATTTATATTTTTTAACTATATGAAGTATGACAGAACATTAAATCACAGCCGTAATACATAATTATAAATGAATAAATGCATAAATAACATACATAAAACATAAAATAATAACATAACATAAAATCGTGTAAGAAAATGTTTTAGCATAGTCCGGTCCGCTAGGTGGCGCCGTGCACATGGCATAGGAATCCGCGCACAGTGATAACACGATACATCTTTTTTTTTTGTCATAATTTATAACTTTTCTAATTGTCACTTTACACCGCGTGGGTGTAGGAGCCGTCACAAATTCATCAGTGTGGGATAATAGTTAATTTTAAGGCCAAAAATTAAATTAAACAGGTCACACGAAAATAGAATAACTGCATAAAAAAACACAACAGTGAATAAAAAGATATTCACATATAAATATCCCTTTTACAAGCAGCATCGGAATCATTCAAGACTTTTTTTTTTTTTTTTAAGATATTTAGATACAAACAAAATGGCACCTTATAAAAGTAAATAGGTCACACGAAAATAAAATCAATGCATAAAAAACAAAAAGAAAACAAAAAAAGTAAATAAAAACATATATAAAAGCGGCAATTTCAAAGATTTTATACAAGAATAAATTAAACTAATTCAAAAAAGGACCAATAAGCTAGCAAAAACTTTCAGATCATTCTACAATTGTGTTATGTTCGCTTTTATATTAAAAAGAAATAAAAACAAAAAAAAATAAAATAGATCGATGGTTCGGGTGTACTTCCTTATTTACAAAAGTGGAGGTGACGTGTTTCCGGTGGAGAATGGAGCCGCATCCCATAGAGCTATTAAAATAACTGCAGCCAGAAGTTTGTTGCAATGGCAGACATGAATCCACTACCAGTTAGACGCAAAAGAAAGTCCGTTTTTGAGGTCGCTGAAAGAAGAAGACAAGGGGAAAAGGAGCGAAGCAAAACTAAAGTGGTTCTTGGAGATTCCTTCCAGCGATGGCGCGCACTGAAGCAGACGAAGGGTCTAAAGACGGACGCGTTGGTCGCTAAATTTCTTCTGGACAGGTGACTTCTGCTCATCATTTATAAACGTACATCTATTTCCAAAAGCTTGACAAATGTTTTTCACCACACGAATGTGATATTATCCTGTATCTGAAAACATAATAATTTAATGCAAAGAAAAAGTCCCTTTGCTGCTTGTTGTAGTTGTGGCGACGAGGAACTTGTTTTCTACAATAAACTACTTCATCTAAAACGTAAATGTAAATCTTTATTTAGTTTGACCAGATGTCCCTACTTCCCCGGAACAGTCCCAGTTTTGAGCCCTGTGTCCCCTGTCCCAGCAGATTTATCCAAAACAAATGATTTGTCCCAGTTTTATACAAGAAATATCCCAGGAGTCCATATTTTTCACCAATTTGATTCCTGCCAGCAGCAAAAAGGCATAAATTGTCATGTGTTTAGGTAAAATACAGAAAAGCTGCTTAAAAATGACCAAAACATAAAGAAAATGTGACTATACTGACTCACATTTGTGCAGAATGCATAAAAATTTTCCTTAATTACCCACTCATTTCACAATTTTATTATTACCAACCACCCCAAACCAGAGATGTCCCAGTTTTTTATTTTGAAAATCTGGTCACCCTGACTTTATTATAACTCTGAATGTTGTTGCAGTTATGATAATGTCACATCTGCCCCACAACCTGAAACTCCATGGGTGAGACCCCCGCAGCCTCTAGTTTCCACTGTTGTTCAGGAATCGGTCTCAGACAGGTAATGAGTTGGTTACAAAAATATTTTTGTCTACTGTTTTGGTGGTTATTATATCACTACAGTGATATCTGGGGAAGAATGTTTTGTGTCAATATTTTTCTTAATCTAAATAGATTTCAGATCTAAACAGTCTACACTTTTCAGGGATGCAGATTTTTTTGTGTTGTCCAGTGACAGCAGCAGTGAAGAAGAAACTTCTGCACCACATAAAAAAGCTAGGTAATATAAGATAAAACTTTCCATAAAATAAGCACCTCCTGTCACTTCATTTTTTAATGTATGAATTTGTTCACATTGTAACAAACTGTTTAAATTGTACAGACCCTCCACCTCCAGAAATGAACCAGATGAGGAAGAATTCAACAGTCTCCAAAATACTATGTGTGTATTATTAAAATTTTAAGAGCCCTGCATTTGTGGATTGATTGTAAATGATAATAAATGATTGCTTTTAGTATCGACTGGGATGATGAAACCTGGACTCCAGAAATGGAAACACAAAGACAGTCTTCCTCTGAAGAGGACGAGACAAAGGAGTTTGACTACATACCACCAATTTGTCTGCGGTACTTTGTTTTTTTCCTAGCCTCAACTGTATGCATGACACTGGCTTTGTGAGAGTGTGAAGTGTTTTACTCCAACCCCCAACACAAACGATTGTACTTAGCATATTTGCATATTTGGGGATAGAAGACTGATCAGATTGTTCGTTTGCTGCCACACTCTGCTTAATGGCATTTGTATTTTCACACCACAGGGCTGGAGGTGCATTGAAACAACAGTTTTGTTTGGACACATTTCCACAGATTCACATGGATGAAACGGTCCATGATGAGCCTGACGACTGTGAAACAGTGGAAGATGCCGTTCCTCCTGACACTGCTATGGCTGTCACTGAGGAAGATGTTTTGGGACAAAAAGCGTCCATCATCTATCATGATGTCTTGAAGCAGCTTCTAGACTTTTTAATCCTACCTGTGGACAAATGCACAGCTGATGACCCTGTCACAAAGATGCCCTGCAATGCAGCAAAACCCTTTGAAGTTTCATTGAGAAGAAGATGCACAGCTGTAACTGCAGAATGGGTGAGTCAATGGCAATAATCCACAATATGAAATTAACACGTGGTAATAATAATACACTATATACAGTGTAATATCACTGGGAGTAGCAAGAATAGGAGTAGTTTTGTGGCAATAGTAGTAAGTAGTAATACAAGAAGCAAAATATTAGAGCCATGGTAGCCTCCCACTATAGTTTGTTTATAAAACTTATTGTATAAGTATAAACATTGAGTCTCTGCATGGGAATGTCAGCACAAACTCCTCTTACAACTATTGCTCTGTAATATTTGAATAAGTAAATTATCTGGACTTTATTTCTGTTTCAAGTATATTCTTTATCTAGGCAGAAACTAACGAACACAAGAGAAAAGGCTGTTTTCCTCAACATTAGTGGGAGTAGCGGCAACTGTGCATTCACAGCAGTCACATTATTTAATTTTGTTTTCCATAGATGTGTCCAAATGGGCACACCGTTTGGAAGTGGAGCTCCCAGCGCTACTATAAAAGTGGTATGCTGGCAGGAGACTTCATGCTGGGTGTTAATGTCTTATTGTCTGGAAACGACTTCAGAAAAGTGGCGCTTCTCTTTAAATTTATGAATATGGGAATGATTGATGCCAGAACATTCCACAAGATTCAAGATGGCTTCTGTGTGGATAACATTGCCGACTTCTGGAAGAAAGACACTGAGGGGATCATTAATGAGTTAAAAGAGAAAGATCCTGTTGTGTTGCTTGGTGAGTGATTGACACTTTATTTCATACAGTTCCTAACATTAATTTGTCACATGCCTTTCACAAGCACTTAATCTTTGTTGACCTTTTTTCTTTGCACAGGTGATGGTCGGATGGATAGTCCAGGAGTTTGTGCACAATACTGCACGTACGCCATGATGGACAATGAGACAAAGAAGATTGTTTACATGCACAGCTCTGACAAACGAGAGACCCGAACAAACTCTGTCTCCACGGAGAAGCACTGTTTCCTAAAATGCATGGACAAAATCATGAAAGACTTGAAAGTCAAAGAAGTTTGCACTGATGCACATTCTCAGATATCTTCACTGTTCAGTAAGTGGTGTATATTTTTAAAAGACTTTTGAGTGTGCAGTGAATAATAGTGATATAATTTGTGGATTTGTTTAATTACAGAGAGTGGAGAATACAAAGACAAAGGAATAAAACACTCACTGGACGTCTGGGATGGTGCTAAAAATCTCAGCAAAAAGATTTTGGCTGTATGTTTATTTTTTTATAATTAATACATATTTTTATATTATAAATCAATTTTTTTACATTGTATAATAATTTGTTTGTGTGATTAGGCTGGACGTCAAAAGGAGTGCTCCTTGCTGCTCACCTGGAACAGGGATATAACAAACCACTTCTGGTACTGCTGTAAAAGAGCTGAAACATATGAACACTTCATGGTAAATACAAAAGAAAGACGTAATTTCAGGCCTGCTTTGATTTGCATTGTAGAAATTGCATTTGACCATCTTTCAAACTGTTTCTACTTTGGTGCATCCCTGGATGAATGAGGGATTATACAAAATGTCATTATTCATATGAGAACGCGATTACAGTTATAATCCTATTTCTCATACTTCAGGACCTGTGGACTGGACTTTTACATCATGTGACTGGTGTTCATCAGCGGTGCTTTGGCTCTTGTCGTCATGACCCGTTGGAAAGCGAAAGGAACAAGCCACTGATTCCAGAGGGCTCTGTGGCTCACCAGCGGCTGCGTGATTTAATGATGGATTCACGATGGCTGAAGACTGTCACAAAGTTCCTGTCTTTTAGGTAGGTTTATGTGTTACACAGAGATGAGTAGAGTAGCAAAAATGTACTCCACAGTGAGTAGAAGTACAAAGTAGTGATCCAAGGGGGAAAAAAATCTTGCAACATTAATTGTAAGAGTGTAACGTCTGATTTATAATTTCAAATTGATGTAATTGGAAGGAACAAAAACACAAATGTGCCAATCATTTAATATTGTCAACACAAACCTTTGTCAACTATAGACTTATCATAAGGGAGGAGTAACCTAAACTTTTACTCAAAGTAAATGTAACTGAGTACTACCCACTTTAAACCAATATTTTGACCAATTGTCGCACTAAGGTCCACTGCAGAGCTGGAGTCATTCCACAATCATGTCTTGATGTACGCTGGAAAACGCTTTGCATTCTCCAAGAAGGTTTATGAGGCACGAGTCTACTTGGCATCGCTGGACTACAACAATCATCTAAACAGAGGACCCAGGAGGACAAAGGACGGCTCCACACAGTATGTATTTTCAAGCAACAATATATTTATATATACATAATACATTTACATTAGGAAAAAATCATTTGCACATAGCTGAGTGTAAATTTATAACCAGTTGTGCATGTCTCTTATTTCTGTCTAGAAAGGGAAAGCTTTACAACAAGAGGACAAAGATGTGGCGTTTGTGCACATACAAAGCCCCAAAAGAGTACAAATACATCCATGATCTGCAGGCACTTATTCTGCGATCAAGGCTTTTGTATCAAAGAGGAATGGCTGATAGTCACCCATCAAGACCCGATGATCCACAAAGACTTGGGCCTCTAGCAGACGACATTACCCCGACAATACAAGAGCTGGACCAGCAACAGGTCTGCAGATTGCTATGTAAGTTGGCAGTACATCAATAAGTGCAAATTTAAATAGGATATACTTATTTCTACAAATATCTAGGGATGTCTCGATCACATTTTTTTGCCCCCGAGTCCGAGTCATTTGATTTTGAGTATCTGCCGATACCGAGTCCCGATCCGATACGTCTATAAAACATTATGAAATTAACTAAGAGCAAAGAATAAGATCCAGGATGTGTGGGGGATCAGAGTTCATGTGTAGTATTTGGGCTGAACTTGTGAAAAATCAAATGTACAAAACTTTAATTTTATTAACTTTAATCTTTACTTTTACCACAGTCTGGTCTTGGAATGTGTAACTTAGTATATTTAATGAACTGGACAAAACAGGAACCAGACCAGAATCAGATCAGAGACTAGACTCTGCACAATCTACAGTTTGTATATTTGATATTATATGGAAGCCTGTGCTTTACATTTGAAACATTTAGGCTCATCTATGAAATCCAAATAATATAAAATCTTACCAACTAAAAACGAGATGACAGAAGCCCCACAGCCTCTCTCCCCCGGCCGCCCCCTCTCCCCCGCACCGCCGCCACATCCACAAACCCACATACCCACCGTGGAGCGCGCACCGCAACATCAGTCCCACCGCACAATCAACACTCCATGCAGCTTTTCCCACCCTCCCCGCCAAAAGCGCCAGCTCTGTTGCGCAACATGCAAACAGCGCCATGCAATGACGTAATCGCATGGCGTAAATGCGCAGGTGTGAACACAGGCCAAGGAACAGTGCCCGAGTATGGCACGGCCCAAAAGTCCCGGCACTGGGACAGACAGTCGCGCTAACAGGACGTCCCTGAGCAAATCCTGCACCTCAGTTAAAAAACAAACAAAACTGTTGTGTGCTGTGTGTCCTGTGTGCGCTGTGTGGATATACGTATATTATTTATCCGATACCTGATTGGACCATAACGGCCGAGTCCGGATCAAGTCCAGTCACGTGATCGGTGCTGATTCGGGACAACCCTACAAATATCTACTAGTGAATGGCCCTGGCTTTAAATGCAGAGGCACATACAGTATGAAATGATAAAATATACTCTTAAATATACCAGAAAATCTACATATTTTGTATGCATTTATATTTTCATTTTTTGAGCATTTGAAAACTGCAAAATGTCACTGACCCATTGACAAGTTCATGAACAGAAAAGACACCCCATCACCCTTAAAATAGACTACAGACAAGTTCAGAGTGTTCGTGTCACAAGACTGCACGTGTATGTGTAAGTGTGTATTCTCTTTTCTCCTGCAGGTGTCCAGCTCCACTCTCTGAGTTCTGATCTGACTCTGCAGATTAAAGAAGAATACGACATCAAACAGGAGGAGATTCAGCTGCAAGTGTGAGTCTCAGACACTTTCAAACTGCAATTCTTTATTTTGTTGTTCATTAATTCTTATTCATTTCTATGACAAATATTCATATTGGGTCTGAAATATACAAATGTATCTTATATTTTTCAGGTCTGGCCCAGAGTTTAGTGCTGTGAGTGTGCAGACAGAAGAGTCCTCACTGCTTCAAGAAATAAAAACTGAGCAGAGAGAGGACACACAGGGAGAGGACATCAAAACGGAGACACAGGTCCACAGTGAGGACATGAAAGCAGAGACACCGGTCCACGGAGAGGACACACAAGGAGAGGACATCAGAGCAGAGACACAGGTCCTCAGTGAGGACATGAAAGCAGAGACACCGTTCCACGGAGAGGACACACAAGGAGAGGACATCAGAGCAGAGACACAGGTCCATAGAGAGGACACACAAGGAGAGGACATCAGAGCAGAGACACAGGTCCACGGAGAGGACACACAAGGAGAGGACATCAGAGCAGAGACACAGGTCCATAGAGAGGACACACAGGGAGAGGACATCAGAGCAGAGACACAGGTCCACAGTGAGGACATGAAAGCAGAGACACCGGTCCACGGAGAGGACACACAAGGAGAGGACATCAGAGCAGAGACACAGGTCCACACTGAGGACATGAACGCAGAGACACAGGTCCACGGAGAGGACACACAGGGAGAGGACATCAGCGCAGAGACACAGGTCCATAGAGAGGACACACAAGGAGAGGACATCAGAGCAGAGACACAGGTCCATAGAGAGGACACACAGGGAGAGGACGTCAGAGTAGAGACAAACGTCCTCTCAGAGATGAAAGGAGACACACAGAACTCTTGTGACACTGACACTGACAGTGATGAAGACTGGAGACCTCCAACCAACTGTTCAGCTGCACACATGGACACAGGGGCTGATGGAAACCACCACAGTCACCAAGTCCAGACCACAGCCAGAAGCAGCATGGCACAAAACAAAAAAAACAAGTCTGCACCAGCGACCAGCACCACTGTGAACAATGCAGACAAGTCAGGAATTGGCGAAGGAGCTGCGAGCAGGAAACACAAGTGCTCGGTTTGTAAAAAGAAATTTGGATCTAAATATGAACTACAAAAACACAGCATAGTTCACACAGGAGAGGAAGTAAGCTGTTCGGTGTGTAAGAAAGTGTTTGCTGTACGCTCACATCTGAAAACACACATGAGGGCACACACAGGGGAGAAACCATTCAGCTGTTCAGTTTGCAAGAAAGTGTTTGCTGTAAGCTCTGATCTCAAAAGGCACACAAGGACACATACAGGGGAGAAACCATTCAGCTGTTCAGTCTGTAAGAAAACATTTGCCCGAAAGGCTTGTCTTGAGTTACATACGAGGACACATACAGGGGAGAAACCATTCAGCTGTTCAGTCTGTAAGAAAACATTTGCCCGAAAGGCTTGTCTTGAGTTACATACGAGGACCCACACAGCGGAGAAACCATTCAGCTGTTCAGTCTGTAAGAAAACATTTGCCCGAAAGGCTTGTCTTGAGTTACATACGAGGACCCACACAGGGGAGAAACCATTCAGCTGTTCAGTCTGTAAGAAAACATTTGCCCAAAAGGCTCATCTTGAGTTACATACGAGGACACATACAGGGGAGAAACCATTCAGCTGTTCAGTCTGTAAGAAAACATTTGCCCAAAAGAGTAATCTTGAAGGACATTTGATGACACACACAACTGAGAAACCATTCAGTTGCTCAGTCTGTAAGAAAACATTTGCTCAAAAGGGTTACCTTGAAAAACATATGAGGACACACACAGGGGAGAAACCATTCAGCTGTTCAGTCTGTAAGAAAACATTTGCCCGAAAGGCTCATCTTGAGTCACATACGAGGACCCACACAGGGGAGAAACCATTCAGCTGTTCAGTTTGCAAGAAAGTGTTTGCTCTAAGCTCTGATCTCAAAAGGCACACAAGGACACACACAGGGGAGAAACCATTCAGCTGTTCAGTCTGTAAGAAAACATTTGCCCGAAAGGCTCATCTTGAGTCACATACGAGGACCCACACAGGGGAGAAACCATTCAGCTGTTCAGTTTGCAAGAAAGTGTTTGCTGTAAGCTCTGATCTCAAAAGGCACACAAGGACACACACAGGGGAGAAACCATTCAGCTGTTCAGTTTGCAAGAAAGTGTTTGCTCTAAGCTCTGATCTCAAAAGGCACACAAGGACACACACAGGGGAGAAACCATTCAGCTGTTCAGTCTGTAAGAAAACATTTGCCCGAAAGGCTCATCTTGAGTCACATACGAGGACCACACAGGGGAGAAACCATTCATCTGTTCAGTTTGCAAGAAAGTGTTTGCTGTTAATTCTAAACTCAAAACACATATGAGGACACACGATTGATTTACACTGGAATATTGAGGCTCTTTTCTCTGTAACTGCTGCAGTGAGCCTTGTCATTGTTCATTCTGCTTTTTATTTATTGCAGTTTGTGTATTTGTAACTTTATTGTACATTTACAACATTTACTGTTGTGTCAATGGCATGAATTAGTTTCAGTATTATCATTTATTGTCTGTATTTTCTTCAAAAATATATAGCATTTTAAACTGTGTAATCCAGACAGGCCTATTCATCTGTTCAGCCTGTTACAACACTTTATCATATGTATATTCTCTATTAAAAATTGATTTACTCTTTTTCCCAAGACTACTTCATTCTGTTTTTTATTTATACATTATATTATCTTAAGGGGTTTGATAATAAATACATTATAAATTGAATGTGTGTGGCCCCTGCCTCAAGTGGAGAAGTTCAAGTATCACTGGTCTTGTTCATGAGTGAAGGGAGGACGGAGCGTGAGATTGACAGGTGGATCGGTGCATTGTACCGTTGTGGTGAAGAGGGAGCTAAGTCCAAAGGCAAAGCTCTCGATTTACTGGTAAATCTTCGTTCCTCCCCTCACCTGTGGTCATGAGCTCTGGATAATGACCGAAAGGACGAGATCGCGGATACAAGTGGCTGAAATGAGTTTCTTCCGCAGGGTGGCTGGGCGCTCCCTTAGAGATCGGGTGAGGAGCTCAGTCACATGGGAGGAGCTCGGAGTAGAGCCGCTGCTCCTCAGCGTCGAGTGAAACCAGCTGAGGCTCGGGCATCTGTTCCGGAGGCCTCCTGGGCGTCTCCCTCGGCTGCTGCTCTGGGGGTATCCCAGCGGGAGGAGGCCCCAGGAAAGACCCAGGACACACTGGAGGGACTATGTCTCTCGGTTGGCCTAGGAACACCTCGGGGTCCCCCCGGAAAAGCTGGAGGAAGTGTCCGGGGTGAGGAAGTCTGGGAGCCCCTGCTTAGACTGTTGTATGTGTATATACATAAACAACTAATAAACCTTATCAGTGTCGGTGTTGTTCACTACTGGAATTCCAGCAATTTTAAACACATTTGTATCATCACATGTTAACCAGGACTCCAAACCAGCATTAGGAACTATTAAAAAAGAAATATATAGTGTATTGGCTGATATCACTTGGATATAGTATAGTTTATAGAAAATTAATATTTTAATGCATTTTGACTGATTTAAATTCTTTTCTCAAACAAGAATATTTGCAAGACTGATATTATCAATATAATTATTATAGAATTACATTTTATGTTTAAAATACACCGTCATGCTGAACGCTTTATGCCTTAAAAATGCTCTAATATTATGATTTAGAACACAGAACAACTGAAAACATTCTTAATGTCTGAAAGAAATGCCCAAAGTAAAAAACGGCAGTGTTGCCAGAGAGATGTCTGAAATTGTGTAATGTGGGCCCTTTAATAATATTATAGAAGAAAAGAAAACAATTAGTTATCCTTTCCCCAAAAAGAAATGTGACAATGGATTAATATTAATTTATGACAAAACTTATCCATTTTGTAAAATTAGCACTTGATAATCCTAAATTTTTAAATAAACCAAGGGTCAGGAAATGTAAATTGTTTATACATTCATTATATTACTATTTTACCTTGTGCATCGTCTCATATAATGCAATTTAATAATGCAAAATATTTTATAAATGGTCACTGGGACATCTCAAGAAACAACACATTCTTGTTGATTTTTTATAAATAAATGCTATAGATAGATATTTTCAGATCACATTTGTGTAAATTGTGTAAATCCGCCAAAGCAGTGTTGTGAATACACTATTAAAATGTTAATACAGTTTGATAACACAATTTTTATTATGAATTTATTAAACTAGAGCTGCTATTTCCTGGACAGTTGTGCACCTTGACTTTTATTCTATCTTGTCCTAACTTTGGACCAACTATGTCTAAAGTAGGGCTGGGCAAAAGTAAATAATATTAATCGTATTAATCGCATGAGTTCGAGTGCAATTAATTGTGATTAATCACATGTTATACACAAAACCAATTAATGAATTAAAAAGTAGCGTATAGCGCACTTTTATTGGAAATGTAAATGAAAGAGCCACACATTTGTTGTGCAAACAGCATTTCTTTCACAGGGGAACCCTCAGAGCCTTCAAGGTATTCTGAAGGCTCAAGAAAAAATATTGAATGAATTTTTGTACTACTAATATATTTTTTTCAATGTTTTTTATTCAGTGAATAATAAACACAACACTAGTAATAATTTCTAGATCATTGTTATAAACTTGGACTAATATTTCTTGGAAAACAAAGGGTTAATATAATGGAATGGAAATGGACCAATCACAATTTATTTTCCAGTGGTATTTGGGTAAATCAGTGACTCCCCCTGCAGCGCTGAACTAAACTGTCCTGCAAACACCTGCAGGACCTTCGGTAGCTGGAACGAAGTTTGAGATTGACACTTGTCTTAGCCAATCATATTTCATTGAGTTATGGGCGGGATCATATCGCGAAATCTTCCGAATACCCTGTAATGGCATAATGTAAGCGAGACCGCAGCAACGAAAACCACACTGGACACCTCTATTTGGATGCCTCAGGGGCATCTGGAAGAGCCCGCGGCTCGTGGTCGGAACGAGAGCCCGCGGAAGCTCAAAGCCCACGTAGGCTCGGACACGTTGCATCTCACATGGTCTGAAAAAAGTGAAAAAAGTGTAAAGAAAAAAAATCTAACTTAAAGAAACGCTCGCGGTGGACTTTTTCAAAATAAAAGCCAGTGAGCAACAGAGGTTTACAATAAAAAATAAATAATAAAAACTGTGTTAACCGTGTTGAAATAATTGTCGGCGATAATGAATTAATTAGATCACGCAAAATGAACGTGTTAACGTGCCCGGCCCTAATTTAAAGGTGCATTTTTTTTTTATCTAGAATGTTTCACAGTATGGCATTAAACATTTCTGTTTTCATGGAGGTCAAACAAGACCAAGTTACAGGTTCCTCCTGTGCGCCTCTAAACCAGAACTAACACCAGGACTAAACCAGAACTAATCCAGGACTAAACCAGGACTAAAGCAGGACTGAACCAGGTTTAAACTAGGACTAAACCACGACTAAACCAGAACTAAAGACCTGGTCTAGACCAGGTCTAAAATCAGGAGTAAACCAGGACTAAAAATCAGGAATAAACCAGGACTAAACCAGGTCTAAACAACATGACACCTAACAGTAGGTTGACATAATTTAAGGTGATCTCATATAAAAAATTATTTCTCTATCAATAATATTTTTTAATATGATGAAGGAAAGACCTTGTTACTGTCTTTTAACAGACAAAACCTCTTATATTAAAGATATCGTGGTCTTTGTTTCTCTACAGCAAACAGTTGCTTATTCATGGAGACTTGGGCTCAGACAATTTGAAGACAACAAACAAGAATTTTCAGGATGTGGTTGCTACATTCATGTCGTTTAAAAAAACATGACAATATCAAGTAATCCAAAGTAATCAGATTACGTTACTCACTTTAAGTAATTTAATGGATTACGTTACAAACTACATTTTGGGGTGTGTAATCTGTAATCTGTAGGGGATTACATTTTAAAAGTAACCTTCCCAACACTGTATATATATATATATATATATATATATATATATATATATATATATATATATATATATATGTGTATATATATATATATATATATATATATATATATATATATATATATATATATATATATATATATATATATATATATATATAGTTTTTTAAATAACGTTTGTATATTATTTTTATATTTATTTTTATTAAGTTTTTATTATAAATCTATGGTTCAAACGCACGTTACAGACGTCACACAGGTGGGAGGAGCTCGTCCTTATTCAGGAAGTAAATACGGAAAAGAAAATTATTTTTGGACCCATTCACCAGTGAGGACGGGATACTGAAAACAATACAACACTATTTTAGGTTCACTTTCCAGATTTTGTTATAGTTCTATGAACCAGATACGTGAAAACGTTTTTTGCAATGGCAGACATGAATCCACTACCAATTAGCCGCAAAAGAAAGTCCGTTTTTGAGGTCGCTGAAAGAAGAAGACAAGGGGAAAAGGAGCGAAGCAAAACTAAAGTGATTCTTGGAGATTCCTTCCAGCGATGGCGCGCACTGAAGCAGACGAAGGGTCTAAAGACGGACGCGTTGGTCGCTAAATTTCTTCTGGACAGGTGACTTCTGCTCATCATTTATAAACGTACATCTATTTCCAAAAGCTTGACAAATGTTTTTCACCACACGAATGTGATATTATCCTGTATCTGAAAACATAATAATTTAATGCAAAGAAAAAGTCCCTTTGCTGCTTGTTGTAGTTGTGGCGACGAGGAACTTGTTTTCTACAATAAACTACTTCATTTAAAACGTAAATGTAAATCTATATTTAGTGTGACCAGACGTCCCCATTTCCCCGGAACAGTCCCATTTCTGAGGCCTGTGTCCCCTGTCCCAGCAGATTTATCCAAAACAAATGATTTGTCCCAGTTTTATACAAGAAATATCCCAGGAGTCCCTATTTTTGACCAATTTGATTCCTGCCAGCAGTAAAGGCATAAATTGTCATGTGTTTAGGTAAAATACAGAAAAGCTGCTTTAAAATTACCAAAACATAAAGAAAATGTGACTATACTGACTCACATTTGTGCAGAATGCATAACAATTTTCCTTAATTACTCACTCATTTTACAATTTTATTATTACCAACCACCCCAAACCAGAGATGTCCCAGTTTTTTATTTTGAAAATCTGGTCACCCTGACTTTATTATAACTCTGAATGTTGTTGCAGTTATGATAATGTCACGTCTGCCCCACAACCTGAAACTCCATGGGTGAGACCCCCGCAGCCTCTAGTTTCCACTGTTGTTCAGGAATCGGTCTCAGACAGGTAATGAGTTGGTTACAAATATATTTTTGTCTACTGTTTTGGTGGTTATTATATCACTACAGTGATATCTGGGGAAGAATGTTTTGTGTCAGTATTTTCTTAATCTAAATAGATTTGTACAGATCTAAACAGTCTACACTTTTCAGGGATGCAGATTTTTTTGTGTTGTCCAGTGACAGCAGCAGTGAAGAAGAAACTTCTGCACCACATAAAAAAGCTAGGTAATATAAGATAAAACTTTCCATAAAATAAGCACCTCCTGTCACTTCATTTTTTAATGTATGAATTTGTTCACATTGTAACAAACTGTTTAAATTGTACAGACCCTCCACCTCCAGAAATGAACCAGATGAGGAAGAATTCAACAGTCTCCAAAATACTATGTGTGTATTATAAAAATTTTAAGATCCCTGCATTTGTGAATTGATTGTAAATGATAATAAATGATTGCTTTTAGTATCGACTGGGATGATGAAACCTGGACTCCAGAAATGGAAACACAAAGACAGTCTTCCTCTGAAGAGGATGAGACAAAGGAGTTTGACTACATACCACCAATTTGTCTGCGGTACTTTGTTTTTTTCCTAGCCTCAACTGTATGCATGACACTGGCTTTGTGAGAGTGTGAAGTGTTTTACTCCAACCCCCAACACAAACGATTGTACTTAGCATATTTGCATATTTGGGGATAGAAGACTGATCAGATTGTTCGTTTGCTGCCACACTCTGCTTAATGGCATTTGTATTTTCACACCACAGGGCTGGAGGTGCATTGAAACAACAGTTTTGTTTGGACACATTTCCACAGATTCACATGGATGAAACGGTCCATGATGAGCCTGACGACTGTGAAACAGTGGAAGATGCCGTTCCTCCTGACACTGCTATGGCTGTCACTGAGGAAGATGTTTTGGGACAAAAAGCATCCATCATCTATCATGATGTCTTGAAGCAGCTTCTAGACTTTTTAATCCTACCTGTGGACAAATGCACAGCTGATGACCCTGTCACAAAGATGCCCTGCAATGCAGCAAAACCCTTTGAAGTTTCATTGAGAAGAAGATGCACAGCTGTAACTGCAGAATGGGTGAGTCAATGGCAATAATCCACAATATGAAATTAACACGTGGTAATAATAATACACTATATACAGTGTAATATCACTGGGAGTAGCAAGAATAGGAGTAGTTTTGTGGCAATAGTAGTAAGTAGTAATACAAGAAGCAAAATATTAGAGCCATGGTAGCCTCCCACTATAGTTTGTTTATAAAACTTATTGTATAAGTATAAACATTGGGTCTCTGCATGGGAATGTCAGAACAGACTCCTCTTACAACTATTGCTCTGTAATATTTGAATAAGTAAATTATCTGGACTTTATTTCTGTTTCAAGTATATTCTTTATCTAGGCAGAAACTAACGAACACAAGAGAAAAGGCTGTTTTCCTCAACATTAGTGGGAGTAGCGGCAACTGTGCATTCACAGCAGTCACATTATTTAATTTTGTTTTCCATAGATGTGTCCAAATGGGCACACCGTTTGGAAGTGGAGCTCCCAGCGCTACTATAAAAGTGGTATGCTGGCAGGAGACTTCATGCTGGGTGTTAATGTCTTATTGTCTGGAAATGACTTCCGAAAAGTGGCGCTTCTCTTTAAATTTATGAATATGGGAATGATTGATGCCAGAACATTCCACAAGATCCAAGATGGCTTCTGTGTGGATAACATTGCCGACTTCTGGAAGAAAGACACTGAGGGGATCATTAATGAGTTAAAAGAGAAAGATCCTGTTGTGTTGCTTGGTGAGTGATTGACACTTTATTTCATACAGTTCCTAACATTAATTTGTCACATGCCTTTCACAAGCACTTAATCTTTGTTGACCTTTTTTCTTTGCACAGGTGATGGTCGGATGGATAGTCCAGGAGTTTGTGCACAATACTGCACGTACGCCATGATGGACAATGAGACAAAGAAGATTGTTTACATGCACAGCTCTGACAAACGAGAGACCCGAACAAACTCTGTCTCCACGGAGAAGCACTGTTTCCTAAAATGCATGGACAAAATCATGAAAGACTTGACAGTCAAAGAAGTTTGCACTGATGCACATTCTCAGATATCTTCACTGTTCAGTAAGTGGTTTATATTTTTAAAAGACTTTTGAGTGTGCAGTGAATAATAGTGATATAATTTGTGGATTTGTTTAATTACAGAGAGTGGAGAATACAAAGACAAAGGAATAAAACACTCACTGGACGTCTGGGATGGTGCTAAAAATCTCAGCAAAAAGATTTTGGCTGTATGTTTATTTTTTTTATAATTAATACATATTTTTATATTATAAATACATTTTTTTACATTGTATAATAATTTGTTTGTGTGATTAGGCTGGACGTCAAAAGGAGTGCTCCTTGCTGCTCACCTGGAACAGGGATATAACAAACCACTTCTGGTACTGCTGTAAAAGAGCTGAAACATATGAACACTTCATGGTAAATACAAAAGAAAGACGTAATTTCAGGCCTGCTTTGATTTGCATTGTAGAAATTGCATTTGACCATCTTTCAAACTGTTTCTACTTTGGTGCATCCCTGGATGAATGAGGGATTATACAAAATGTCATTATCATCACATGTAAGAACGCGATTACAGTTATAATCCTATTTCTCATACTTCAGGACCTGTGGACTGGACTTTTACATCATGTGACTGGTGTTCATCAGCGGTGCTTTGGCTCTTGTCGTCATGACCCGTTGGAAAGCGAAAGGAACAAGCCACTGATTCCAGAGGGCTCTGTGGCTCACCAGCGGCTGCGTGATTTAATGATGGATTCACGATGGCTGAAGACTGTCACAAAGTTCCTGTCTTTTAGGTAGGCTTATGTGTTACACAGAGATGGGTAGAGTAGCAAAAATGTACTCCACAGTGAGTAGAAGTACAAAGCAGTGATCCAAGGGGGAAAAAAATCTAGCAACATTAATTGTAAGAGTGTAACGTCTGATTTATAATTTCAAATTGATGTAATTGGAAGGAACAAAAACACAAATGTGCCAATCATTTAATATTGTCAACACAAACCTTTGTCAACTATAGACTTATCATAAGGGAGGAGTAACCTAAACTTTTACTCAAAGTAAATGTAACTGAGTACTACCCACTTTAAACCAATATTTTGTCCAATTGTCGCACTAAGGTCCACTGCAGAGCTGGAGTCATTCCACAATCATGTCTTGATGTACGCTGGAAAACGCTTTGCATTCTCCAAGAAGGTTTATGAGGCACGAGTCTACTTGGCATCGCTGGACTACAACAATCATCTAAACAGAGGACCCAGGAGGACAAAGGACGGCTCCACACAGTATGTATTTTCAAGCAACAATATATTTATATATACATAATACATTTACATTAGGAAAAAATCATTTGCACATAGCTGAGTGTAAATTTATAACCAGTTGTGCATGTCTCTTATTTCTGTCTAGAAAGGGAAAGCTTTACAACAAGAGGACAAAGATGTGGCGTTTGTGCACATACAAAGCCCCAAAAGAGTACAAATACATCCATGATCTGCAGGCACTTATTCTGCGATCAAGGCTTTTGTATCAAAGAGGAATGGCTGATAGTCACCCATCAAGACCCGATGATCCACAAAGACTTGGGCCTCTAGCAGACGACATTACCCCGACAATACAAGAGCTGGACCAGCAACAGGTCTGCAGATTGCTATGTAAGTTGGCAGTACATCAATAAGTGCAAATTTAAATAGGATATACTTATTTCTACAAATATCTAGGGATGTCTCGATCACATTTTTTTGCCCCCGAGTCCGAGTCATTTGATTTTGAGTATCTGCCGATACCGAGTCCCGATCCGATACGTCTATAAAACATTATGAAATGAACTAAGAGCAAAGAATAAGATCCAGGATGTGTGGGGGATCAGATTTCATGTGTAGTATTTGGGCTGAACTTGTGAAAAATCAAATGTACAAAACTTTAATTTTATTAACTTTAATCTTTAAAATCTTTACTTTTACCACAGTCTGGTCTTGGAATGTGTAACTTAGTATATTTAATGAACTGGACAAAACAGGAACCAGACCAGAATCAGATCAGAGACTAGACTCTGCACAATCTACAGTTTGTATATTTGATATTATATGGAAGCCTGTGCTTTACATTTGAAACATTTAGGCTCATCTATGAAATCCAAATAATATAAAATCTTACCAACTAAAAAACGAGATGACAGAAGCCCCACAGCCTCTCTCCCCCGGCCGCCCCCTCTCCCCCGCACCGCCGCCACATCCACAAACCCACATACCCACCGTGGAGCGCGCACCGCAACATCAGTCCCACCGCACAATCAACACTCCATGCCGCTTTTCCCACCCTCCCCGCCAAAAGCGCCAGCTCTGTTGCGCAACATGCAAACAGCGCCATGCAATGACGTAATCGCATGGCGTAAATGCGCAGGTGTGAACACAGGCCAAGGAACAGTGCCCGAGTATGGCACGGCCCAAAAGTCCCGGCACTGGGACAGACAGTCGCGCTAACAGGACGTCCCTGAGCAAATCCTGCACCTCAGTTAAAAAAAAACAAAACTGTTGTGTGCTGTGTGTCCTGTGTGCGCTGTGTGTCATATACGTATATTATTTATCCGATACCTGATTGGACCATAACGGCCGAGTCCGGATCAAGTCCACAGTCACGTGATCGGTGCTGATTCGGGACAACCCTACAAATATCTACTAGTGAATGGCCCTGGCTTTAAATGCAGAGGCACATACAGTATGAAATGATAAAATATACTCTTAAATATACCAGAAAATCTACATATTTTGTATGCATTTATATTTTCATTTTTTGAGCATTTGAAAACTGCAAAACGTCACTGACCCATTGACAAGTTCATGAGCAGAAAAGACACCCCATCACCCTTAAAATAGACTACAGACAAGTTCAGAGTGTTCGTGTCACAAGACTGCACGTGTATGTGTAAGTGTGTATTCTCTTTTCTCCTGCAGGTGTCCAGCTCCACTCTCTGAGTTCTGATCTGACTCTGCAGATTAAAGAAGAATACGACATCAAACAGGAGGAGATTCAGCTGCAAGTGTGAGTCTCAGACACTTTCAAACTGCAATTCTTTATTTTGTTGTTCATTAATTCTTATTCATTTCTATGACAAATATTCATATTGGGTCTGAAATATACAAATGTATCTTATATTTTTCAGGTCTGGCCCAGAGTTTAGTGCTGTGAGTGTGCAGACAGAAGAGTCCTCACTGCTTCAAGAAATAAAAACTGAGCAGAGAGAGGACACACAGGGAGAGGACATCAAAACAGAGACACAGGTCCACAGTGAGGACATGAAAGCAGAGACACCGGTCCACGGAGGGAGGACACAGAGCAAGGAGAGGACATCAGAGCAGAGACACAGGTCCATAGAGAG